GATAGGTTAAGGTCTACCCTTACCATATCAATGATGTGGAGTTTGCAAATGCTTTAGTTGATTCATTTTTGGAAATGTCTCCGAAATCTGGACACGTAGAATGTCAGACAGCTGAGTCCAAATCTATACAAGGCATTCAGAATGTTAATGCTGTTCTAGAGAAATATCCCTCATGCAACGGGAAAAACTTTTCTCGCCTGAATGACTTTCCAAATGCAAAACCAGGTGATGATTATTCCTAAAAAAAATCAAGGCTGATAATTATCATCCTAATGACATGGCAGATAAGCTTATAGAGAATTACTGAACAGTTTCCACTGTATGATTTCTGCTAGTGAATCCACTCCTCTTTTGAATTTATTTACCAGTTCCCGCAGTAGTGTTGGGCTGTTCACAATATTTTCTAGGTTTAACACAAATATTATATTTGCCAAAGCTCATGCACTTCTAAGTTCTATCTTTGACGCCTACGTTGATTTAAAATGATAAGTGAAATAAACAGGCATATATGTAAACCTTAGCTTGCCATAGAAGCCAACAAAATGAAAGATGATGAGAGTGCTTTATAATTTCTTAGCGTGAAATATGGTTGATCTAATCTCAAGGATTATTTCTTTACCGATAGGTTGCTGGTTATGGGCTAGCTTGAAACGTTATATCATGGATTCTTTTCCTTCATTGTCATCATATTTATCTTTACTATTGTTTTGAGAATGTCTTGCAAATGGCATGTACTGGCTCATCAACAGGGAAATGAATCTAACAGCTTCTCAGTTAATGGTTTTTCTTTCTTCTTTTAATTTGTATGAAGACTTGATGAGAAGCCTAATCTTCCTTGAGCAGAAACTTTGCAGAAAAGAATTGTGATACTGCAGAAATTGAAAGATCAAATAAGTAAGGGCAAGCCTATTATTGGGGCTGGTGCTGGTACAGGTATTTCTGCTAAGTTTGAGGAAGCTGGTGGTGTAGATTTGATTGTCTTGTACAACTCAGGGCGCTTTAGGATGGCAGGAAGGGGATCCTTAGCTGGTCTATTGCCCTTTGCTGATGCAAATGCCATTGTACTTGAGATGGCCAACGAAGTATTGCCTGTAAGTCCTACTTGTTGTGTGCTTCTTTAGTTCTTCCGAAAACCTTATAGACGTTTAGGCTCAGCTTCATCTCTTTTGTTCTTTGATTTTAGCTCGGGTTGGACTTGCATAGGACTTTACTGTTCAAGTTAATACAACCTGCTGTCAAGCAAGTTCATGTTCGATTCAAAGGCTTAACAAATTGATAAAGCCCTACTTGACTCAACATGAACAAAGCACTAGGAACTACAAGCAGTTAGAAATTTCTACTGACAAGGAAACAAAGAATGCAGATCAATAAACCAAGACAGCCCTAGACAGCCCTGCTCCCTGTACATAGACTAGAAGTAAGCTCCAGTTGACATCCATAGTCGGATACATTAAAGCTGATCCATGTCATTTCTATGATTCTTGTCAGTACCTCTTTCGTGGAGTAGAAATCTCAGTGTTGCCTCAAAAAGATACTCTCAGGAAATCTGTGCCAAATTTGCATTAAGCTATGGATGCATCACTCCAGTGGTTGGTTAAAGATGAAAAAAACAAATTTAGATAGAATCGCAACCAACTTCAATCCAGCTTGGGCTTTCAACAGCTTCTATAGTGTCAATTTCAATCCGTCCTTATTCTTAATCTAATTACATAGTTGGACTTCTCACACTTACTGAATTAGATGAGAAACTACATAGTCGAGATGTCCGATTACATATTTGAAAAAATTAGAGGTTTAAACTTTGTTATGTAGAAGAATGACTAAACCCTACATACTGGCTGGTCATCTGTAATTGTGAACTTCACTTTCTGCTTTTGTCGTAGGACAAAAATGCTCACAAGTTCTGGTTTGGAACTTGAGTTACTTTCAATTTTCTTCAAAATTTCAAAGGTGGATTACAATATATTTACATAATTTTTCGTCACGTCTGTATATACCTTTTCCATATGAGTTCTGTTGTAAATAGTAACCATGATTGAGGTTTCTCATTATGTCCTTCATAGGATGCTCCATTATCTAGAAAGTATCTGAGTGATGACAAAACTTTTACTGATGGTTTATTGAGATGTTTTGTCCATTTTTTCTTTAAAAGGAAGATCCTGTTTCATTCTTCTTCCTCATATATTTTTACCTTCCAGAATGGTGGCTTAGTTTCTATCAACATTGAAATCTCAGGTGGTTAAGGAAGTGGCAGTTCTGGCTGGAGTTTGTGCTACTGATCCTTTCCGCAGGATGGACAACTTCCTGAAGCAGTTGGAATCTGTTGGATTCTGTGGGGTGCAAAACTTTCCAACTGTTGGTCTGTTTGACGGTAACTTCAGACAAAATTTGGAAGAGACTGGAATGGGTTATGGGTATGTCTTAGTAGATTATATGTTTTAGCATCTAATTTAAGAATGGTGACGGTTTCTTAAAGATGAACAGTGTCATGATCTTTCTTTACGTTCAGCTTGGAGGTTGAGATGATTGCAACAGCTCATAGGATGGGCCTTTTGACAACCCCATATGCTTTCTGCCCAGATGAAGCAGTTGCTATGGCAGAAGCTGGTGCCGACATCATAGTTGCTCATATGGGGCTTACAACATCTGGTTCAATTGGTGCAAAAACAGCTGTATCATTGGAGGAAAGTGTAACTTGCGTCCAAGCTATTGCAGATGCTACTCATAGGATAAATCCTGATGCAATTGTGCTCTGCCATGGAGGTAATCCACGTAACCTAAAGTAAATAGAAAATTATAAGGGAAAAAACGAAAGAAAACGACTGGATCAATTATTTGTTGTTAATGTAGCCAACTAAAGCAAAATCTATGCCAAATTCCAGCTTCAGCTAAAATAATTTGACAATTAAGCAGTACTCTGATGGTGTACCAGATGAGTTCACCGGCTTCATTAATTTTTTAGTGATTTTGTCTTAATTCCTTGGCGTGTTAAGAATAAGTTAGGTAGATTACTGAAGCACTTGTGAGGATTCTCTTATAATGTTATTATTTTCAATGTCCTATCCAAATGTTTACAGGTACAAATCCTAAAATAGTTGCCTAATTTATATTACACCATTTAGTCAATGCTCAGTGCACAAGTACGAATTATACATATGGTAAATATATGAACCTAGAGATTCAAATAAAACAAAACAATTCGTCAAGTGATAAAGATTGATATTCTCCTGTCTTTATTGAATGATCCATGTGTGTGTAGCAGTGCACATAGCTTTAGTATTGATTCCCTGCAGTTTCCTCCATTGTCTCAATCATGACCAGGAAAACAAATGCTGGTTGAAACTTTTGGATTTACAGCTGCATTTTTATTGTTTATTTCCCTTAAAATTTGCTCATAAAGTATTCTCTCTGACCTATTTTCTGGTTATCTTCCATGATATTTGTGTGAGTAGACATTTTCTTGCTAGAGGTTTGTTGAAGTCAAGTTCTTGGTACTCATTTCAATTTGTATTTTTCCAAGTCCTATAATGTACATTCAGTTTCTTTATGAATCAAGGAGGGTGGGTTTTATTTTGCTTTCTTGTAACTAGAAAATATTATGATTCAGACATTTATTTCGCTTTCCCTATCAGCAAGGGTGATATTGGTATATGATGGATGACAATCGATAGTTACAGCGTAATTTTCCATCTAAATGAAGTCCGTTCTAATTCAGGCAATGATTGAGGCTGTTCTCTTTTGTTTGTATCTTCTTTTTTTCAATATCTGCCCAAAGACTAGGTAATTGTAGAATATCCATGACATCTTTTTTCCAACACAAATATTTGCTTGTTAAGTAGATGAGGGCTGTTACTATCATTTTGTGATACATCATTTTTCTTGAATCTTAATCTTGTTCAAAAGCAATGATGTTCATTCTCTGACAAAATTGTAAGCTGCCAAACAAATACTAGTAGTTAATTTATAATTTACATTTATCTGGGTTAGATAAATATTGGGGGAAGTTGCTTTTATGCTTGAAAAGTTTTTGTTTTGTCAATTCTTTAGTCTTTATTATGATGGCACGTTCTTTTCTTCTCCTTGTGATTTATTGATGTTGCTAAAGTGAAGAATCTTTGCGCTATTTGCAGGCCCTATATCTTCCCCTGAAGAAGCAGCATATGTACTGAAGAGAACCACAGGAGTTCATGGATTTTATGGCGCTTCAAGCATGGAAAGACTACCAGTTGAGCAAGCTATAACTGCAACTGTCCAACAGTACAAGTCTATATCTATGGAGTGAGATGCAATGGATTTTGGTTCTTTAAATGTCCGAACCTATATGTATGGTCTTCACCTCTTTCTTTATATATTACTATCGGTCTCTTGACTTTTGAAAGAAATTTTTTGTAACCTGAGATTGATGATGCATACAATGGGTCCTTGGGGTCGGGCCCTTCTCTGGACCTTGGCATAGAGGGAGCTTTAGTGCACCGAGCTGTCCCTCTGTCTCTGAGAGTAATGATGCAGATCATAAGCATTAGCTCTTTTTTTGTTTGAATGTTGTGTTAATATGTCAATGAATCTTTCTCCAGTTATTTTTTACACATTCACAAGGGTAAATTATCTTCTTTATATTCAAGTTCTTATTTATCTTCAGACAAAGGGAAGAACACATGGATGGACAGATTTCTGATCAATGTCCTGGACTCTTCTGTACTCATCTAGCAACTTGAAACACTACAGCACTGCAGCTGCAGTTGTTATCTGTCCATATGATATCAATTTCAACAAGTTATACCTTTTCGTCATCAACCTTCTACATTGGTTGAATCTGACTCCCTCTGCACCATGGACTGCAAGAAGTTTCGTTTTCAGTTTTTGTATGTTTTCAGGCTAGATGGAAAATTCTCCTACATCTTCCAACATATCGGAGCACCCTTTGCCTTCAGGCTTCAACTACTTAAAATGGTGGACGGTAGCAGAAACTTTGCTGCAGTTTCTTATTTTTCTTATGTTAAAATGGCTATACTCGAGTTGGCATAATAGAAAACTTCCTTGTTAAAATGTGAATGGGCTGTCTTGGATATGTAAAATCTTCAAAGTCCACCCAGTCTAAGCAATAACACTTGCTCTCCACGGCTCCAAAAGTCTTCACACGTTTTCTTTCTTTCACATCTTTTTTTTTTTAAAAAAAGAAAACTATATATTAATACTTCCCCTTTAGCCATTGCTTACATCCCATCAAACCAGCTCTCCCTCTCCTGCACCCACAACATCAATAACAAAATCTTGAATATCCTCAGACACAGAGGGACAATTCCCTCTTCGAGAACATGTCTTCTGCAGAATCGAAAATGGCACTTGCCAAGACCGTCTTATCTACAGTAGGCTCTGTTGCTGCAACAACCATGGTTGTTCGGACCGTTGCAAATGAGTTGCTGCCGCAAGAATTGTATGATTATCTCTTCTTTGGCCTCAAAAACCTCTTCAGCAGGTTCTCAAATCAGCTAACAATGGTAATTGACGAATTTGATGGCTTGGTCAACAATGAAATCTATGAAGCAGCTGAAATGTACTTGGGTAACAAGTTGTCAACCAACACCAGGCGAGTCAAAATCAGCAAGCCTGAGAAGGAGAAACGGTTCAGCATAACATTGGAACACGACGAGGAGGTGACAGATGTTTACAGTGGGCAGAAATTCCAGTGGGTTTGGCTTAGCAAAAAAGTAGAATCTCGAGACTTTTATAATCCCAGAAGCATGAATTCCACTTTAAGATCTGAGGTCAGATCCTTTGAGCTCACATTTCACAAGAAAAACAAGGAACTTGTCCTTAATTCATACTTGCCTTACATCATAGGAGAGGCAAAACTGAGAGAACTCGAGAACAGGGCAATCAAGATTCACACTGTGGATTACCAATCCATTTATAATTTACATGATATATGGGAGGCGATCAATCTTGATCACCCGGCAACCTTTGAGACTCTGGCAATGGACTCAGAGGTGAAAGACAAAATTATAAAGGATTTAGACAGATTTGTGAAGAGAAAAGATTATTATAGGAAAGTAGGAAAAGCATGGAAAAGAGGATACTTGATGTATGGTCCTCCAGGGACAGGAAAATCCAGTTTGGTCGCTGCTATGGCTAATTACTTGAACTTTGATATATATGATTTGGAGTTGACTGAGGTGATGAGAAACTCTGATTTAAGACGGCTGCTTGTGGCCACGGCTAATAAGTCCATCTTGGTGGTCGAAGACATTGACTGTACCATTGATTTGCAAACTAATTTGGCTAATCGAACAAATGATTCTCCTCCAGATGGTTCTAATCAACAAGAAACCAAGGTAAGTCCCTTTGAATTTAGTTTGTTTTACCTTGCGTTACTTCAAAAGCATTTCGCTTCCAGCACTAAAAGCTTCGAGGAAAAATTTGATTTTTCAAGATAGTCACTCAACTACTTGCTAGTATCTCAGAAAATCACTTTTTTTGTTGAAGAAAATAGGAATCACGAAGAAAGCCGACTTTCTGAGATAATAACTATTAGTTGAATGTTCGTACGAGAAATATTGATTAGTTTAAGTGTACTGCAAGAAATAGAATGAAGAATGTTCTGTTTTCTTACCATTGCAGGTAACATTATCTGGTTTATTGAATTTCATCGATGGATTATGGTCGAGCTGTGGTGACGAAAGGATCATAATTTTCACAACAAATCACATAGAAAAGCTTGACCCTGCATTGTTGAGGCCTGGCAGGATGGACATGCACATTCATTTGTCATATTGTACTCCCAGTGGCTTCAGGCTTCTTGCTGCTAATTACCTGGAAACTAGAGAGCACAAATTGTTCAAACAAATTGAAGAACTCGTAGAAACTGCGATGGTGACGCCAGCCCAGGTGGCTGAGCAACTGTTGAAGGAAGATGAGGTTGATGTTTCACTTGATGGCTTAATTAGTTTTCTACACGTAAAGATTAAGGAAAAGGAAGAAGCCAAGTCTAAGAAAGTAGAGGCAACAGAATTGGATACAAATGAGAAGAAGATAAGTGATGAAAAAGGAATTGAAGAAAACTTAGAAGAAAAAAAGATTACTAATGAGAAGTAAAAGCCACAAAAAGAGTTGGCTCTACCTAACATGTCAATATTTGGATAATACGTAGCAAGATTTTGTTCGATTAACGTTACTAATTAAATTCAAATTTAGTAACACTTATATAAGCAACAAAAAATAATACAATTCTAAATGCAGGTTTCTGGTTTTCTTAGTTGTAACCTTTCATTTAGAAGTCAATTTTTTTATTAGGTTAGTTGTTTTCACCATTATATATTTTGGAAAAACTATATAATTAGACAACTTTACTATCATATATAGTATTATTATTATCTATACTTCAAAATATTACATATCTTGACTATTTAAAGTCATACCCGTCTCTTGTATAGTATACAATTGAATCCAAAGATTCCTCGATCCCATACTCCTTCATTACCCATAACTTACAACTAGTCTCTTCGAAAAGAATATGAGCATAATAAAAGCAAAACATTTCTCTTAGTGCAACTCCATATTTGCAAATTTGATGATCGAACATTTTTCTCATTGGCTCTAGCAATTGTATCTACTATACAATGTTTATTGTGGAAACCTACCCAATGAAATGCTACATGTATAAATGCAAAAGGATCACGATTAACTCTATACATAGGAAGTGAGTCAATTCTATTATATATATAATGATATAAAAAAAAAAACAGTCTCACTTGGGAACCCTATATATTATCGGGAATATTTTCCGGTGGAGACACAAAATGGTAGTGTATTTACCTACAATAACAAATTAACAATTATATTTAGTTTATAAAAAATACTCACTGTTTTTTAAAAAGTTGTGTAAAATAACAAACTATTAATTCAAAATAAGTGATATAACCACAATTTCATTTAGTTATGATCCATAACAAACACTTTGTCATTCGTCTCTCTTGAATCTCGCTCGTCACTGTCCCTCGCCTCTCTCAATTTTATACAAACACAAATGTACAAATTGTGTTTGTGTTTGCACAAAACGAGAAAGAACTGTATATATATTTCGTTCTATACACTTTTAATTATACTAATACAAAATCTTCCCCTGCTCAGTTCTCTTTTGTCTTTTTCTCTTTCTCGCGCACACTTATAATTTGTATAAAGTGAGAGAGAGATTTGATATAAAAATACAATTGTTTTAACTATATTCAATTGTATATGAATTCAAATTTTATGCAGATATACAAATACAAATAACATATACATATACAAATGCAATTTTCATAGACACAAACACCCGATTTATACAAATCACTGTGACTTTATACAATCAGATGATGCCTACGATTTTATATAAATTTGATGCTTTATAGCAAACATAGTTTGCTATGAAGCGCAAATAGTCAGATAATTGTAGCTATAGAGCGATAACTTGATTTTTATGTTTGCTAAACCTAAAATTTACTCTCTCTTTTTTAGGGGGATTAGTAATATAAACCCTTAGATTATGATTGAAATCTTAGCTAAACTAAGGTTCTATTACTAATAATACAATTTTTCTTATAATTTTGTACATCTTTTGATTTACGTGACATTCAAAGATCCCACACGCAAATCAACTACATGGAGTCATGGAATGTTTCATATAAGTTAAAGAGGTGTACAAAATTACAAAAAGATGAATTCAAAGTAATAAGATCTAAGTTTAATTAAGGTGTGTGACTGTGATTTCGATCATAGTCTTGAGAGGTACTTGTGTCTTATTCCATTTTTTAGGCACAATACATATATTGGACCCTAAATATTGGCTTCAAATTTTAATTTTTGACCTCCAACTTTCATAATGCACAAACAGACACTTTAACTATCCAACTTTTAAATAAATAAACACATGAGTCCTAAACGACACAATACACGTAGGATACCACATAGGACAAAAAATGACATGTAGGACGACATGTAGGATATGTGTGTCTATTTATTCAACTTTTTACAAGTTTAAGTGTCTATTTGTGCACATCTAAAGTTAAAATACATAAATGTGATTTGGAGCTATATTAAAGGACACATTTATGTATTATGCCCATTTTTTAATACCAAAATCGTCGAAATAATGTAATGTAGTGGGTCCTTCAGCTATTTAATCCTAAATCAAAGCATTAATGTGGAGAAAATGTCATAAATAGTCCTTGTCTAAAGTTTTAAGTATTCAAAATTTTGTTATGTTTGATTATTTTAATATACATTTACTGATTTAAGTATTAAGAAACTTATTATATTTAGTCCTTTCTTTTATACAAATATTTTTGACTAATATTCCCTTCGTCCATTGTTATTTATCATGATTTCTATTTTTAAAGTCAAATTATAAAAAATTTGACTAACATTTTAATATGCATTTTTTTCTTATCATATTGATATGCAAAAAATTGCAATTTATAATACTTTTCATATAGTTTTTGAATATCTAATTTTTTTTGTTTGAACATCGAAATAATGTAATCTAATTTAACTTTGAAAATTAGTTAAATTGATTTTCAAAAAGCACAACATGACAAATAAAAGTGGACTGAGGGAGTATTAGTGAATCCATGCCTCTATGAAATTATTCTTAAACTCATTTTTTAATTATTTTCTTCTTTCCGCTACTTTTTCTTCAAATCACTCTTTTGAAAGAGACTCTAACCTCAACGATTCAAAATAAAATTCAGGAGGAAAGAAGATCTAAGTCCTAATTTATTCAATAAAGGATAAAATGAAGCATATTATTGATGCTAATGACTTGAATATGATGTTTTCCCTTCTCTAATATGATGGTGCATTTCACAACAAATCATCATATAATTCGTTTTTCCTATTAAACATGGTTATATGATCTCTATTTTTAGGTTGAGTTTCGTAATATATGACTCACGGACTTTTGAACTTCCATTTCATCTCACTCAATATGCTTCATACCCTTCATCTTGTTAAAACCTTAGTATATGAATCCGCAAGATTCAATAGAATTAGCATCAATGGTATATTACTTATTAGAATGATCTCACAATGTTGTATTTTTTGTTCTCATAGATCTAAATTTACTGTTATATATAATAACGAGCTTGTACTCTACCAATAATATAGTACAATTCATCAAAAACAAAAAAATATATATCAAAATAAAGTAGTTATTATAATAATAAAATTTCACTTGAAATTAAAATAATAAATTCAACCTCAAAAGTAGAGTTAGCACTTAGCTATAATAATCCCCCCCCCCCCCCCCACACCCCCCACACCCCCAAAAAAAAGAAAAACAAATAGCACTAAAAAAATTCATTATTTTGTTGTTCCTACTAAGTACTTCTACTATATTCACAATATCATATCAAGTACAATCAATCACATATCTTTCATTGGGTTAGCAGATTTCTTTTTACTTATCAAACCATTTTCACACAATTATATCAACAGTAATTGCAAGATTCATACAGTCAACAAATTTTATCACAATTTTTTAATAAGTTTAAGTCATATGCGGCCCCTTAAAGTTGTTCGTATATTTTACTTAGACACCTCAATTTAGCCTCATACCTATTGAACACTTGAACCTTAACAAATTTATATCAATTTAACACAAAATGATAGTCAAATAAAAGAGAAATATGCGTGTATTTCAAACGCTCAAACATAACAAATGGACCAAAGAAGTGATGACACATGACAATTGAATTAATTTTTTAAAAAAAATTATTTAAATAATCAAAAAGCAATTTAAGAAAATGAAAATTGAATTTATTCACCCCACCCCACCCCACCCCACCGGCCACCCACCATTCTTCTTCTTCTCGTCGACCTGAACTGCAACCTCCATGCTTCTTCTTCTTCGTTCCCTTTTCACTAGCCCCGGCGTCTCAACGCCAGTCAACAATAGCCTCCAGCCTTTTGTTCTTCTCCATTGAATTTGTCAATCTAAGCTAATTCTTCATTCACCTTTCATTCTGATTGCATTAAAACATTCTATTCGTTATCTTTTATCTTCTTTTCACTAATAATTATTTATAACAAATTACAAGAAAAAATAATTTTTTACAAAAAAAAAATCAATTGCTTCATCGAAATATTATTTTTATCGAAACAATGAAATTTTGCCAAAATATTTGAGACTTAAATAAGATTTACATAGAAAAAGAAAAGAAAAAGAAAAAACACAAGAAGAATTTGAGGGGATTGGAGAAAAGATGGACAGCGTGGGTGTGGGTATGGAGAGAGATGAGAGTAGTTGCAGAAAGATATGTGGGAAGAAGATCATTTTTTTATTTTAAATTAATTATTTTTATGCATTATTTATTAATTAGGTTTATTAATTGAAATGAAAAAGAAAAAAAGATCATTTTCAATGGTTTCACGTGCTTGGGGACTGTGAAATACACATTTTTTGCCACATAAGTCATTTGTGTCCAATAGGAACTGTTTCTGAACAAATAAGGTGTTCCACAAAAACTTAAAATAGAAACTTAAAATAAATATTTCATTGATAGATAAGAATTTTTTTACAGACAAGAGTAACATATATAGAAATAAGGTTCATATCATACATATATATTTGTAATGCGATACAACATGTACAAAATAGGTCAAAAATTAAAGATACCAAAACAGAAGATGGAGATAATGACAAGTTATGTACACTCAATACTAATATTGTGATGACTGTTTTTGTGAAATCTCTTCATAATATCTAGGCATGGTTGCAAAACAGTATTCTTCCATGCTTCGTAAAGATCTTCTTTGAAAACACCCGTAGCAATAATATGATACACTGACCATATTTTTTCATTTGTTAATCGTTGAATCTTGTAAAATTGGTTACACATTAACATACGAGTAATACACCTGATACTTGAAATTGAGGCTTGAAGAATCACCTTCTTTGAATCATCATCGCCGTCTATATATGTTCTTAAATATCTGTCCATTTCAGGGACACCGATGGACCGTCGGATTCCTTTGGTGTAATCTACTTCTGGAATGAAAATTTATTTTGGGGACTGTGAAATACACATTCCACAAAAACTTGACATTTTTATTTATTGAACTCAAACTTAGGCTGCCCCAAGTGTTCATGTCACATACATTGTCTCAAGCAAGTAAGAACAAATAAAAACATTGAGTTTGTAAAGCTCTTCGCGAGGTAGCTTTTTCCTCACTAATATTTTGTTCTTATTTCTTACAATTTTGTGTGATACAAACATTGTTTAGATTGTCAAATATCCTTTTCAGAAGGACATTTCTATAACTTTCAATGTGATTGTTATAGAACTACCTATGAACAAAGTGTCATCGGGTTCAATAAAAACAATATAGTCCAATTCATGTCTATGCAAATACTTTTATTATAATAGACATATCTTTT